CACTGAACGTGTGCAGCTCCTCCATACCCAGGTAAGGGTGTGGTGCAAAAGCAGTTGTGTTGACACCTTACAAACACAGAGGGCTGCTATCTAGCAGAGGATAGGGCAGGACAGTGGTCTAGAATGGCCTCTCTGCTGCTACCCACAAGGAAAGGCATGCTGAGAGCCCATCACCTGAGCCCACCACTGACATTTTGTAAAGAATGACTTTAAAAAGAATTCCAGATTTTGAATTGCAAGCTTGAAGAGTAAAGACTTGGCTCAGACTGTAGGTTTGGGACTGCAGGCCTCAGAGTACAAGTCTTGCAATCTCTCTTTACACAGAACACCAGCTTGATCAACACCAAGAAGAAGCTGGAAACAGACATTGCCCAAATTCAGAGTGAAATGGAGGATACGATCCAGGAAGCCCGCAATGCTGAAGAGAAGGCCAAGAAGGCCATCACAGATGTGAGTTGGGGGCTCTTTTCACTGCTGGAGATAAGTACCTTCTCCGCAAACTGTCTGCAGCCCCAAAATGGCTTTGACCCTTTGCTCTCATCAGGCAGCCATGATGGCAGAAGAGCTGAAGAAAGAGCAGGACACCAGCGCCCACCTGGAGAGGATGAAGAAGAACCTGGACCAGACGGTGAAGGACCTGCAGCACCGTCTGGATGAGGCTGAGCAGTTGGCACTGAAGGGAGGCAAGAAGCAAATCCAGAAGCTGGAGGCCAGAGTGCGTAGAGCTTTTATTTGTGCATGAGTGAACGTTTTCTCAAAGCCAGTGAAATTTTGCACACACCATCCCCAAGGGCAATTGTAAACCTGACGTGGTGGGAAACCAATAATTAATTGTCTTTGCTGCTTACCAACCACTCTAGTCTGAGGAAGACCGAAAGAATATTCTCAGGCTCCAGGATCTGGTGGACAAGCTGCAAATGAAGGTGAAATCCTACAAGAGACAAGCTGAGGAGGCTGTAAGTATTGCTTGTAGTGGTAACAAACATCACTTTCTGAGGAGGACTACAAATCATATCGTAAATGAATATCAGTTTTTTGAAAGCATAGAAACTGGTGAACAATGATGGATTTCAAGTGCAGGGAAAGAAAGGTCAGTCATCTGGGAATGGTTTAGCGTGTGCCTACAAGAAACTCCTCCTTGTAAATTTCGTAAGGAGTTGTTACCCATGAGAAATTTAACTACTCTAGGAACATAATCCTGGGAGTATGGTTGACATTGCTTTCTTTTGGCCAGTCTCCTGTCAGAGAAAAACTAAGGAATGTCCTGCAATCTTTGTTTTACAGGACAGACTTACAAACATGGCTCACAACCAGCCTTTCAGCTGATAAATTGAGTCAGGTTCTTTCCTGCATAGACCAGTATAGACCTGTTTTGCTGTCCTATGATGAGTGAATGATTTGTGAGAGAGGCATGGATGGGTTCTAATTGACTCATGTCTGTGAAGTTCTTCACCTACTACGAGAGAGTGAAGACCTAGGATACTGAGCCAGAATAGGAGACAAAAATGCTTAGCTGATCTGCTGAACTAGAAATAAGTTTCAATTTCTTCTGCAAAGCAACATTCTTCATAAGACAAAGTGATGAGATATGTGACTGCAGACAGTGGCTGGAAGAGGAGGGTGGATTGTGGGGAGTGTTGTGTGGCTACAGAAGAAGAAGGAGATGGGCAGTTACCCGACAGTGCTGTCACAGCAGACATGGAGGAGGAAGGAGAAGCTATACTCAACTAGTGGGGAGTGGCAGGAGGGGGCAGGTACTTCTTCCCTGAGGATACCATATACACTCACCTTTGGGGAGTATACATGTTCTTTCTTGGTGCTGCTGCTCTTTCTTAGCCCTAACCTTTGAGTGTAAAGGATAACAAATTGAAGCCCAAACAGCTTTTTCTTGATAGCTAAAAACAGAGACTGCTGTGCTGTCCATCCCCCTCTCCACATTTCAGAGGGCAGAACGGCGATAACAATTCAAAAGCTGTTTTAGTTGGTTTGGATGGGATACTCTAAAGCAAGGGAGGATGAGGAGATCTGTGTGAGGCTTCTGGATCATCATTGGTAGGTGGGAGATAGGAGGTCTGTGCTTTACAGAATTATGTTCAAACCCTGTTGTGCTCTGTCTACAATGGATCTTCTAAAAAGGGGAGGATGAGGAGGTCTGTGTGAGGCTTATGTGTAAGCAGTGGTGGGTGGGGGACGGAGGTTTGTGCCTTCCCCCAGGGAAGAGCCGCAGCCCCGCAAGGCCGAGGCGCAGGAGGAGTGAAACCCCTGCCCTGGGCTCCTCACCACCGACTCCTTCTCCCCACACAGGAGGAGCTGTCCAATGTCAACCTCTCCAAGTTCCGCAAGATCCAGAATGAGCGGGAGGAAGCCGAGGAGCGGGCTGACATTGCAGAGTCGCAGGTCAACAAGCTCCGAGTCAAAAGCCGGGAGTTTCACAGCAAAAAGATAGGAGAGGAAGAGTGAGGATGTCATGAGGCAGCAAAGTGACCTGAGGGCTGCACAAAATGTGAACCTCTCGGTCACTTTCTTCTGCAATTAGTCTTTGTACCCATATCAATGTCTAGACAATAAAGACTGTAGATCCTCTGCATACACAGTATGAATAGTGCGTTCTTTGTGTTTTTTTTTTCTGATCAAGCTTGGGATATTGCATTGCAGAACAAGTTTTCTTACTTTTCCTGGCTGGGGGAAGGGCAATGCAAGGGCTAGGGAAGGGCTAATGCAAGCTCAGGACTGAGGACTCGCAAACTTAGAGCGTGGCCATTCCTGTGGAGACTACTGATATCCAGCCCATGCTCTCTTCCTTCTGCACCAGCTCCTTGCCCTGCCCTCGCATACTCTTAATGCTTCTCCCGTTGTCCTTGCAGCACAGCTTACTTCCCATGTGAGAGGCCAGAGAGGGTGATCCCTTTCGTTTCTCCTTTCCCTGCTTTTGTTTGTGATCCTGGCAGTCACAAACCCTAAATATCAGTCTCCGAGTAAGTTATCAAAAGTCACAGAAGCACCATGAACGAGTCCCTTGGCAGAGGCGATTTTCGGCACAGAGAGCACTGTTGCGACACATCGATAGTGCCCCTAAATTGTGCCATCTCTCTTACCTTAGATTCCCGCAGCTGCTGCCACCACCTGCTCCTAGTTTCTCTGCAGCGGACAAAACACTGAGTCCTGCCTGGGGTGATGGGCTGGAAGGACTGCCCCTTAGAGCCCCTTTCTCACGCACGGCGTGGCACCAACACACCTCCTCAACACATCACCTCGAAGGTCAGCCTTGTCACCTCTTGCACAGCAGGCTGCACGTGGCATTGCCTGAAGCAAGAGACAAGAAGGAAACTGATGGGTGTACCTTCCCATTCCTTCCTCACATACCCGTACCTCGCTTTTGGCCTACCTACAGTCTAAACAGCCAATAGATTTTGGGGAAGAAGGGAAAGGGATGAGGCAGGAAGGGAAGGGGGAAATTGTCAGACGCTTTCTCCTTCATTCAGACCCTGACCTGAACAGCAGAGGCACGGTGGGCACGTACAACTGCAAAGTCTCATGTGCTCTATCAGCCGTCTCAGCTGGATTATTTCGATGCATTAAGCCTTGCCTCCAGTTTGGGTGAAAGACACATGGACAGTGCCAAGGTATGTTAAAGACAAGCCCGCAGATGTCTGCCTAAGCTGGTGTTCTCATAGAACCAACAGCTCTTGGCTTCCAGGTAACTTCTGTCCCTTATTTTCAGGGAGACCCCACAGCCTTGGAGGATTTTCTCAGAAACCTCAGAGCCTGCAGGGCTGTGTATACAGTGAATCAAGGACAGGTTAGGTAACTGAGGGCTATTAAGTTAATTTGGAAATCCTTCCAGCAATATCAACTCACACAATTGCACCCACTGTTGCAGCACTGCCTGTCTGAAGCGTTCACCGCCAGTCACCCCAGCTGACTCCAGGCTGCAGGATCCCTTGATGCAGACCAATGCGGAGTGAACAAGCAGCACATTAGAAGCGACTGAGGAGTGAGGTTCAGCTGGCGCTAGAAGGAAACAAGAAGCAGACTCAGGAGCAGAGGCCAGGGTACGTGTTGATGTTGAAAGCTTGCGACAGTCCACAGCTTTCCACCTCTGTCAGCTGTACAAGCGCTAGTATTCAAAAGCAGAGGTGGGTCCTCCATGGAGCACTGAGCCTAGCAGGGCCGCAAGGATGGGAGTGGGGCTGGTGTGGTGGGCCGAAGGGAGGCAGGCTCTGCAGCAAATGGTTGTGCCCAAACCTGAGGCAGGTAGCCCCCGAATGCTTTCCCCCTTGATTTGCTTACAGTGTTTTCAAGGGAGAGCTTGCCAGTGGAGCTCCTTGGGGTGATGGGAAGTGGTAAGGACTGCCACTGTCTGCTTGGTCTAAGCTTGTAGAAGTCAAGGCCAGAGGCTTTGTCTACAAATAGATGCTCACGCTGCTGGGAAGTTGCAACGGACAGCTCCATGGCTGTACACCCATGACAGCAATATCCAAAGGGCTCCCACCTTACCTGGCTCCCAAGTGTGCAGCCCCACCAGCGCACCAGCTCTCACAAGGACGTCCAGCCTGCTTCCAGCGGCGCTAGCGAGCGCTGGCGAGCAGAACCTCTGCCAGTGCTGTCTGAAGAGAGCAACGGGAGATGGTTCTTTAGGAGCAGACCTCAGTTTTCAGTCCCAAGGACTTTAAGCAAGCTACCCAACACCTTGCAGAGATGCCAGACTAGTCCTCCCTTCTCAAGACACTGCACAACTTTTCCCCATGGCTCCCTAGCAGACTTCCAACTTGTTCATCCCTCCTCATCTCCTGCAGTCTTTCTCCTTGCCTGACAGCATGCATTGGTCTGCCACCCCACAGCCAGGGTCTCTTGTGGTGAGCCTTGCCTGCCCAAACCCGCCTATGAGCTGACTGCTCCTCTTGGGTGGCTTGAGAATCTCTAGCCACACCTGCAGGCTTCTCCAAAGCTTCAGGTGGCGCTGGGTAGAGTCTAGGTGGCACACAACATCTCATGAGTGTCCCTGTTAGCTGTAATGGCTTGTACAAACATAACCTTCTGAGACTCCCTGAAATCCTGCTTTACAGACCCTGCACCATCCTTTGCCTCACATTGCCTCCACCGTGGAAGCTTGTGTCATCAGAATGAAGGAACGCAGCCAGCAAAGCCAGGCATAGGGAAGAGAGAAGGCGGCAGGCGTGAAGTGGAGCGAGCAGGCTGATGGCTCCTGGCCACACTGGTAAGTGTGACACCTGGAGATAGTTTCTTTGATGACTTGTACAAAAGAACTGTCACAAAGGGCATCGGTGGGAACGGACAGGCAAGTCACTGAAGAAGCAGCTCTCGCGTCAAGGGTATAGCTGTGTCCGTTCTGCCCTACCGTAGCCGCCTTTAGACTCTGGTTTGCAAAGTCAACTGTTTCTTCCTCTAGCCTCCTGTGTGTTTCACTTGCACGCAGTTACACACCCTCTGGTGTCTCTCTAGCTCTCAAGGATGTGGTCGAACATAAAGCAGGCAGCTGCGTGCCCTAAGCTCAGGGACAGGCGCACACCCTCAGGCAGGACTTGCCGTAAGCACGGCTGGGCAGTGCTGATGGGACTGAGGCTTGGCCTGGTGTCCCCAGCAAATTCACAGCTCCCTCCTGGCCCCCCGCCTCCTGGGCTCTGAGGTCCCACCAAATCGCCCATCAGCCTTCACAAGAGTCATTCCCAGAGGAGGAGACAAGGCTGCAGAGAGCTTTGGAGATTGCCCATGCCAGCAGGATCAGCCCCTCATTTGTCTCCCTTCATCCTCAGTGTCAAAAGCTCAGAATAGCCCTGCTCTTGCAAGACTCCTGCGTGGGGTCATGCCTGTTTGTGGAGATGCCATGCTTCCACTAATAGCACTCGAAGACATTCCTCGGCGGGTAGGTTGCCTTCTATATCTCAGTGCTACGTGCTGCCGTGGAGGAGCTGGACAACTGTGTTGTGTCCTAAGATGGCCGATGCTATTCTTATCCCAGAGAAACTTGCTCCGGCACAGCTCCGTTCTCAGCTGAAATGTTAAAAATCAGAAGCAGGCCCGAGCGTGCTCTCCTTGGAAAGAGTACAAATCAAGAGTGGCCCCAATGACACTGTGCCAACCAAGGGCCTGGGTGCTCGCCATGCCCTGCTGGGACGTGCTGCCCCATGGGGAACACAGCAGCTGCCCAGGTACTTCCAGCGGTCAGTTGGGGCTCAGTTTGGGGTGGATGGGTGCATCACTTCTTTTGTAAATCAAGAAATGAAAAAGGAGGGCTGGGCTGTAGATCTGAAAGTGTATGATTCTACAGCTGCCTCCCCCTGTGTCCCTGTCTGGGTGAGGATGAAGACAGAGGCAAGGCTTGCTCCAAGGTTCAGCAGCTTTGCAG